AGATTATCTCCCTGTGTCTTGCTGAGGCTAGACACAGTCTAGCTAGTCATGGTGATTTAGTCAACACAGGGCTTTTGGCCAGCACCTGTAGCTTGCAGTGAAATAGCCACAAGACTTCCCGTTTGTGTGAGCTGAACCCAGTATCATTAGGTCATGCTCACCCATGACACGTAAGTTAATTAAATGAATTCACTTCTATCCTGCCATCTTGTTCCACATGAGTAGTCCTGTTCGTGGAGCACTGAACTGTGGAAATGACATATTTCCCACTTGTGGTGAAGCTATTTTACTTTTTTCCCATTTTTGAATGTGGGATGTATGCCTTTAATGTCCAGGGGGGAAAAATGCAGTCTGAATTAGCAAAACCAAACTTCGGTGTGTTTAGTTTATCAGATTTCTAAGATTATAGGAGAGATGTGGTGAGCCTATAACAGACAGACACAAAAAACTTTGTTCTTTTCACTGTTTATAGTTGCTTGATTTGACAAATTATTTCAGTGTTTGTGAAACACGGAAAAAATGTTTGAAAACTTTTTTTTTCTGTTTATTACATTTCCATTAAATAAGCTGGTAATGGAAATAATTTTCTAAATCTGATTGCTAGTCAGTCTAGCAAATAATTTCCTTTTTTTTTTTTTAAACAATCACAGAAAATAGAAGACTATTTTTCTGTTGTTTTGTGTTCTTTCTACCTTATTCTTCTTGTCATTACAGTGGACAAAAAATAAATTGACTAAACACAATTTATTTTTTATGCCTAGCTGTCAACATACACCAAACTGAGAACATAAGTAATTCAACATTTTTTTTCACTTCTGTCCTGTAGAAAATAACTTTTAGTTAGTTATTATTGTAATAGACATCCCAAGTATGGGATTACAAGGCCAGCTCTTCTGTCAGATAAATGTTCTCAATAGGTTCCATCCATTACACATGCTGCTAAGCTCTCTTGTTCATACAATCTAGAAGTAAATTAATTGTCTGTTACAATTGTTAGACAGTGTTGGTGTGATCTATATATACCACTGCGCTCTCTTACTGAAATAAAACCAAGTGCTAATCACATTATTTTCTCTTCTTTCCCCAGGAAACTACCGACTGCCTAGAAATTAGGAAAGGGTGTGAGAAGTCTGGTTGATCAAGGTGGAATTTTTTTTTCCCCAAGAGCCTTTTCACAATTGCCTTTTGCAAATTCTTTGGACGCTCTCCATTGTGCCATGTTTTGTGGCTCTCACCGTAAAAGGAATTTGTCTTGATGAAGATTCCTAACATTGGTAATGTGATGAATAAATTTGAGATCCTTGGGGTTGTAGGTGAAGGTAAGTAGTATCTTCATAAAAAACAAATTAGAATTTTATATAGATTTGACTTAGTCTTCTTGATGGTAGTAAGTTTTCATTTGCAAAATACTGCTTGTATGTAAATTTTAAGAAACATCAGTTTCTTCTCTACAGCTCCTTCTAATTCCATTCTCAGATGGAAGGACAAGTTTGGAAGATGAGAGAAAAGGAAGAGAAATGGGACAGTTTTGTGTTTTGGGGAGAAGGTGTTTGGGTTTTTGGGGGGGGGGGTGTTTTGGTTTTTTAAAGGTTACTATATTAATTTCTCTGTAGTGATAGTGGAGAGATGCAATCTATCAAACTTCTCTGCAAGTATATTTAAAAACAATAATTTCAATTTTAAAATCCATTTTTCAAGCCATTCAAGCAGTTTTTATAAAATTGTTTCAGTGCACAGAAATTTAGTACAGTACCTGTATGTGCAAGTTCTGGATAATAATACTGGGAACAATATTATTTCTATAGCCAGGAGGTGACTGAAAACTGTTTTATCTTGCTGCTTTTTTTTTCCTGCTTTGAGATTGTTTATGTCTTCTTTGTTTCAGGAGCCTATGGCGTTGTACTTAAATGCAGACATAAGGTAAGTAAATTGCTTTAAGTCAGAGATATATGTTCCTATTTTGGTGAAACAATGACTTTTGATGAGAACTGAGATGTTACTATGTATGAGATGTGGCAGCTGGGGTGGGCTTTTCCTTGCAGTCAGTTATTCAGTTTTTTAATTGCAGTACTGTCAGAGGAAAAGGCTACATCTAGTACCAAACCTCCATTTTTTTGGTGTTTAATATTTGTCTGAAATATATGAAGTATTACCAATGTTTCATTAATCTCAAGTAAGAGAGCTTTTAAAAAAAGAAAAAAAGTTGTTTTGGAATGCAGTTTACGCTCAGTCTCAATTAGAATGTCAAATTAATTGCCAACTACTGCTGTATAAGCACTTACCTGTCTTGGGAGGGAAGGAGTGTGATCCATGTGAAACTTCTGCAGCTGTTGGACAATGGAAGCAAAGTAAGAAAGCACTGACTTTTATGCTTGGTGATTTTAATGTGGAAGAGGAAGAAGTAAAAAAGGAAAGAAAAAACCCTGTTTCAGACAAAAATTAAGTCTGGCAACCTGTCTACACTATTTTAACTATTGTGTAAGCTGGATATTTCTGAACTTGCTGCTCATCAGCAGGGAACTGACATGAACTACTTTGCTGTGTTTGGAGCTGCAGTGTAGTCATATAATAAAATAACTTCTACTTCTCTAAAGCAAAACATTTCAGAATCATAGAATGATTCCTTTGTAGTGATCCAAGAATATATAAAAGTTTTTGTATGTAGTTCATACATTTTTCTAGAAAAAGGTAACATTGTGCAGAGGGCCTGCATTCCGCGGTGGCTTTTAGCCCATACACAGAAGGACTTTTGCACAGGATATATAGTTATATTTGGAGTGGCTTACACTATTATACTGACTTAAAGCTAAAAAAGAAAAAAAAAATTAGAACTTGGAAAGATCCTATCTCAAGCTGAAGCCTTGTCAGGCTTGGGGGAGGCTATAATACTCAATAGAATGGCTTTGGTAAGTTGGATATTTTGGGATAGTTACAGAATAATAATTCAGGGTGAATAGTTTGAGAGCACGTAGGTGGTGACAATAAAGTTTATGCTAGACAGCTCTCTTCTTTATGGAAGGTAACCTCACCAAGACTCAAGAAGTTTCTAGCATTTCCTGCATTGCTGAGTGAAATTTAAGCTCTGCATGTCTTTAGTCATGTCCTCATCCGAAAGAGTTCAGTACTCTTAAGAGTATAGTATAATGGCAGGGTAAGCTGTTGCGTAAGTTCCTGTAAGAATACCTTACAGTATACCAGATGACTAGAAAGGAAAAGTTTTCCTTTAGCAGAGCAAGGTGCTTCTTCCTACAGCCTGTGTAAGGATGCTGAATTGCTGTGGGGATCTGGATTTTTAGATAGTCACACCATTTTGTTCTGCAGCTTCAAGCTTAATCAAAACAACTGTATTGAAGTTCTAAACCAAAGTGGTATTTACTAAAGCTTCTAGCAAGTGGGTTTACTAAGACCTAGGGTTTCTAGTATTTGGAGATCTGAAGAAAAGGCGAGGTATGTTGCTATTTTAAGCTTACTGATTTATGATTCTCACTTACTTAAAACAAGCTGCACCCAACTTCTAAGAGCAGATAACTTTAGGGGCCATCTGTTTTAGTAAAAAAGAATAACTATCCAAAAGTTAAACTTTGACCTGCACCTTTTTTCCAATTCTTTCCCTTGCTGTTTGTCATCTTAACTTTTTTGTTTTGCACCTGGGTAAAACACATTGAGGGAGACTTGTCCCCAGCTCTTTTGCAAGATGCTGCACAAATTCAGAGCAGACACATCCTGCTTGTTGCCTTGATATACAAGGTTTGTTAGGAAAACATTTGATAATTGCCACAAGAGTTCATGTTCAATTACAGGCATTATAATAAATAGAATTATTTACTAGTTTCTACATTTTTGATGGGTTTAATTATTTTTTACTTGGCTTATTCCTTTTAAATATGGAGGAAAAGTGGCTATAAAGGAAGAGAGTGGGAGGAACAGTATGAATCGGAGCTTAAAGATGTGAAAAGATGCTGCATGTTTGCTCCAGGTTTTCATTTACCGTAAGACAGAAAAGATCCAAATTATAGACAGAAATTTTAAGGCTCTGATATTCATCATTGACTAGAATGAACTGACTAGTGCAAGAAGTGAAGTTGTAGAGAAACACCCTTCTAATGGGAAGGGGAATGGAGGAAGAAAAGGGGAGAAGATTCTAATTCCTGTCACATCAAAGATGTTACAAACTAAAGGGGTGGGGTTTAGTGAGGCCTAAAACCAGTCACTAATTAGCTGAAAGTGGGAATTTCTACCAAACCATGATAACCATGTGCCTTAAGAAAAGTTACTTGTATACGAAAGAGGAAAAAAAACATTGCAGGATGGTATATGTAGTTATTCTCCTTGATCAAGAACTGTTTTTTCAAACCACTTTCCTACTTGTACAGGAAAACAACGAGTTAAATAACTTTCATGAACTCTGAAGAGAATTACCTGGAAATCCCAGGGTATGTGGGCTTTTTTACTGTTTGGCTGCTGATGGGCATGCTTTTTTTAGTATGGATGACGAAAATAAGAAGTTCTTACACATGATCTGTCTGCAGGTAGCACAGTTGAACTTTTAGTGCATTACATAGTAAGTCTATTCAGCACCACATAAGTCGTCCAGAAACAGCACAAAAACTAGAGAATGCTGCAGCATTTTTAATGTATGTATGGTATATACCAGACCATCCTCAGTCATGTTCCCTCAGCATGTACTGCTTTTCTTTTTGTCCAAAGCTAGCAATTATGTCTAAGAATTTGAAGGTAGAAGTATTTATATTCATCTTTATAAATAGTGGTAACATGCCACAATCAAATTCTCAGCTATTGTAAGTCAATGTATCTCCATTGTATTGGTGAGAGGGTAAATTTTGTGTGAAGTGAGGAGCTGGCCCCTAATTGCAACAATTTTCCAACATACAATCCACTAGTGCTTCAATAAATATGTAGCTTTTTGCCCCAGTACATTTCATTGGCATGTGTGTATGGATTTAAATTGGAGAGAATGACCTAAGGAACAAATACCTTGTCATTGTTATATGCAGGTTTTTTTTCTTTGCTAAGGGAACATTATCAGAAAAGCTAAAGTACTTCTTCTAGAATGACTGTGTTTACATTATACAACATGTTTTTATCACAAATCCTTTATTGCTAATTGTGGTTTGTGCATAAAGATTACTTGTTTATCTGTTGTTTTTTTTTTTCTGATGTGAAGCTAATACAAGAATGTTGAGATAAAGCAGATCTGATGTTCTGTTTTCCTTTTTTCTTCTGAGAAGACTTTTCATAAGGAAATATACTGGAGTATATTGTGTTTGAAAATACTGGAAATACATTTTATATTCACAAACTATTAAAATAGGCTGTCTTGGCTTGTTTATTGGATCTTGGCTATGTTTTCTGAAAAGAAAAGCCGCTTGAACAGCTCAGCAGTGTCAGAGATGATGGCTGAGGAAAGGAATATTTGCTTATGTTTAGGACTTGTCAAATATTTGCCTTTTAAATAAAACCACTATCCTCTTTACTGTGCAACATGGGCCTGCAGCTTCATGAGGAGTTATCCTTTGCTAATAGGGACTTAGGCACAAGTATTAGGAGGACTCTGACATCAGATAAAAAGCTAATAGGACAATATTGTGACTTAAAATCAATAAAATGGTGGGAAAGCCATAGGTGTCCAAAGACAGGCACACTGAAGAAAGAAGCCTAGAGGAAAAAAGTTAAGCTGAAAGTGTGAAAAGGGAATGTGTTGATATAGTGTGAGATAATAAACTGTGTATGTAGGGGGAACACTGAAAATTGTAGCTGCAAGTAGGAGGAGTTTGTAGAAATGAGGTGAATGCATCCTTGGATGACTGAGGTAAGTGGAGACTGTGTCTAGGTAGACAAGATGATGACACTGGGGCAGGGGGTCATTTGTTCGAATGAGGCGGAGCTCACCACAGGGCCAGGCTGGAGAGGAAGAGGGATTCATACTAGCCGGCAGTCAAGCCAGAGCTGTTCTGCTAATGCTTTGAAAGCAGTGATTCCAACTTCTGCTTTAGCTTCCATCTGCAGAGCATGCATAGTGGTTTGCTTTATCTAACCATGGTTTTATCAGTTTAGTTGAATGTTTGAGAAGGACGCAGATGAAAGTCTGTAAAAAAAAAAAAAAAAAAGTCATTTTTTTCTTCAGAGCAGGATTTCATTATTATCCAGTAAATAAGGAATAGACTGCATCTTAAGAAACGAGCATGAGACACCTAGACACCTAAAGCTGATCATTATATAAATAACAAAGTGGGGTAGCTGATGATTTTTCCCTTTTAGACCTGCTGGTGTGGGGAGCTGGCAGAAACTTGCAGGAAAAAAGCCACTGAAAATACGCAACAGGGAAGATGTCTGTGTACATATATCTGCATGTATAAGTTTATGGGGTTTTTTTAGGTTAGCTAGGTGTGCAGGAAGGTGTGTGGTGATGCAAATTCTCTAAAAGCACAGTAGAAATCAATGAATTCTCCTAGACTTATCTTTTCTCTTGCTATGTGCTCTGCGTTATCAGAGTCCTTGGAGTCTGAGGGGATACAGTTTAGTGATTTAGAAATATAATGCCAGTTGTTCTTATGTGTACAACATCTCCTGCCTAATAAGATGGTTTTTCTGGTTTTTTGTTGTAGAAGTGCATCTGGTTTTTGGTTGTTCTTTATAGTATCAGTATTTTAGACCTTTTTTTTTTTCAAGAAAAACAGCACTGAATTCCCTTGTTAAAAACAAACAAAAAAAAAAGAAACGTTGGTTTGCAGAATCATTTGGCCACTTCAGTGCATTGAAGAATAACCTTTTTAATAGGCTTGATACTTCCAGGCAATTTCCTTTTAGCCTAGTATTTAATTTTGTCTTGTTTGAGCCTTCAGTAATATTCTTGCATTGTCTTCTCCTAAGTTTTGTGTGTGTCTCGGAATATCTGAAAG